TCGGATAACTTGCATTCGATTGCATTACTATTTGTATGTTCACATTTTAGTTTATGAAAGGTTCTTCCACCAAAGATTCTATGAAGCTTTTGACCCTGCTTTCTTCGCTGTGGCATTGTCATCAATCATTTGCTCTATCAATTAGCTCTTCTTAGTAGTTCACTATCGCGATGCGCAAAAAGTTTTCTCACGCGCGGCGCAGGGATTGTGAAGTTCGTTATCACGGTTCAAAGATTAGTCAGATTATCTTCTTTGATTTATTTATTTATTTATTTTAGTTTCTTACGCTTGCACACATTTGCCCTGAAGTATTAACTTAATTTAAAAAAATGTTGTTTACCGATAGAGATCTCCTACTGATTTCTATAATTATGATCCAATCCAGTTCTATGGTAATGTCAGATGACGTCCCTCCGTTTCGTAGACTGTCTGATCTTTATTGAACAGCAATAAACAAACTGTTTCGTGGGTACCGTTCTGTTATGTAAAGATTTTAATTTATGTAGAACAGAGGGAGGATATAGAATAAACCTACGTAGATACTTACCTTATACCGGAGGTAAATCCCATTAAAATTATTTTAACCTGACCTTCACAAATAATATTGCTGTTTTACTGTTATTTAATGAGAAGTTAATCGTAATGTAATATATTACAGTACCTATTTACATAATTAGCGTAATTAATGGATCAGAGAACAAGCTTTTTTCATGAAGCGAGTAACAAATAATAATTATTGTTATTACATGATGTTCCATTATGAATGATATAATTATGATGTATTTCCTGTTAAAGTCGTTAAGTAACCTACTCGTATTCAAAAAAAGTCTCAAATCCGTTTATTTGATTTGTTTGTGCGTAAAAAAAATATACATTAGCCAACAGTCTTTGAAACATCAACTTATTATTATTAGTTCGGGAAACATGTCTCGTGAAAATCAACTCCTCGGCCATCGTTCACAATTAAAGGCCTTACATTCTGAATCTCTTACATCTCTCGACAAATCAAACATCCAATCAGCGACTATCTGTTATTTGTTCCCATTACTTCACCCTACAAACGTATTCACAATCATCCTCCAAAAGCTTTAAGCGACAGAATCGTTGCAACAGTACCTTTGCACAGTCCCGATTCATTGCAATAAATACGACATGGGGGCAACAGTTGCCTCACTAACTCGCGACGTGATGAGCAGGACATGACCAGCAGGGTCCGTACTAAGGGCTTTTTCGGGGCCCAACTACTTTTGGGGTACATCATGCTTACAACGTAAATGATTTTTGATGATGATGTTTACAACCTAATATTGATAGGTCAACTATTATCTACTTTTGATCTCTTACTTTAACGCGACAGGATAAATCAGAGACGATATGGGGGCAACCAAAGGGTCCGTACTAAGGGCTTTTTCGGGGCCCGACGTGAAATAAGTTTTTGGCGCATCTTGCAAGATTCTACAACTTAAATGTTCTTTTCTTTTTAGCACATTGTGTTTACAGCCTAAATGTTGATTTTTGTATTAAACAATGACTCTACTTTACTCCTGCCTATTATAAGTGACGATCAGGCCGAAGGTGGAAGCAAAATTCAACAGAAACTAAATAGAAAAGTTGCATAGTTAATTTATTGGTCTACGATTATCATGATGTGTTATTGAACCTATGTACTTACCTTACATACACCCAGTGAGTGTGAGCTGCACATATCAATCGATACAGTTAGTAGAAGAAACCTTGTTAAGTAAATATTCAATGGAAATAATGCGGCCCTGTGCTTTTGTTCAGAGCAAACTAGTGGTTTAGGAAGTGCAAAAATGGAGGAGTGTGACAACACAGATTAGCACACCTTTCAGTCGGTGACATGACTTGCTCGGGGTAGAAAATAAGGTATTTTGATAATGTTTGCCAAGTTCTAGTCTCTATCTATCTTTAACAGAAATGTTATGGTGACAAATCAGACAAATTACCTGAGGCCTGAGCAAAAAGTAATGCATTATTTTACCTCATTGACTTTTTGATAATTAGGTCAAACTGACTATCCCCCGTATGGTCATGTCGTGTGTGAAGCTCATTACACCTATCTTTAACAGAAATGTTATGGTGACAAATCAGACAAATTACCTGAGGCCTGAGCAAAAAGTAATGCATTATTTTACCTCATTGACTTTTTGATAATTAGGTCAAACTGACTATCCCCCGTATGGTCATGTCATGTGTGAAGCTCATTACACTTAATGAGGTTTGTTTAGTTATTGAGTCGTAAAAGTGGTTTGAATTTAGCAGTAATACGTGAACTTATTGGCACGCATCTCCTTTTATTATTGAATTGAAAGGGAGAGCTACCTAAATAAGTTTATCTAACTTTAATAAATGCATACTGACTTCCTTATACCCCATAGAGTTATAACATAGAGTAGCTACGGCAAATTAGATATAAGCCGAGATGCCTTTTATGTGTACAAAATACGTAGCTGATCCTATTCCTTAATGTTGATGAAATCTAGCAATAATATACCTACATACATTTCTATACACTCGCATATTAAATTACTTCATATTTGTAGTTTTAGGTTAATTCTAAATTAATGCTAATGACCAGAACCGCTGCCAAAACCTAAATAAAATTACGAAAATGCCTGAATCAACACGGTTGTTTCACGATAGACCCGAAAACAGTAGCCTCTCTCCTCACTATACAAGAAATAAAAGTTATTAAACATTTATAAAAAAAATAAGGAACATTGTCGGCCGTTTGGTGTAGTGGTTCGGAACGAACTACTATGCCGAGAGGTCCCGGGTTCGATTCCCGGCCGGGCAGAAATTGAAATCATGAATTTTAATTTCTGTGACGGGTCTGCGTGATGTATGTTTTTACAAACGAAAAAAGTATGTAAGTATGTTTATATCCGTTGAATTCCGTTGTCTACTACCCATAGTACAAGCTTTGTTAAGTTTGGGACTAGAAGCGTAGTGTAAAAATGGCCAAGGATATTTATTTATTTATTTGTATTCCGAGCTAGTTCCTACTTAGCCTTCGCTGGTCGGGCTTATTGATAACATAGTCAAAATGTAGATTTATCATATCAATAAACCTACAGGAGCTTTGCAAGAGTTACAATAAAGCGAACAAAGTATCCCACAAGGTGGACCGACGACCTGATAAAGGTAGCAGGAAGGCGCTGGATGCAGGCCGCTACCAACCGTGTGATGTGGAAGTCATTGGGGGAGGTCTATGTTCAGCAGTGGACTTCCTGTGGCTGAAATGATGATGATGATGATGAACAAAGTATCCCTGTTTGTGTATGAGCTAGCCGCTACATAAAACTACTAGCCGTAGCCTATTTTTAAGAAAGAGCCTTCTCTTTATCACTTAGTTATGGTTGCATCCTTATATCTAAAAAACTGTAGGTGGGGTATAAAAATTTTGGTAAGCCTAGTTTTTTACTAACAGTAAATGCTACGACTAAACGACGTTTACACTCATAATGTTATGTAACAATGCTCGTTTTTTGCTAATTTACATAATTTATAGAGAACTGAACATTTTTTTAGGTAATAAGGCAGTGGCAGCGATAGGTTACCTACCTACTGATGAAAACCTGCAGTTTGAAATTCGAATGCACCACTGCTAAAGTCATGGTTGCCATTTGAACTTTCCTTAAACTTACCTCTTTTAGTTATTAGTTAAGTAATTATCCAAGCATAAACTTAAGGTTCATAGATTTTCACGGATAATATGAGAAGTTAATTCACAAAATTAATCGATAAATAAAATAAACTACCTAGTGCTAAATATTTTACTCATTCGTTACGGAATCAAAATTAAAGCTCTATCGATAACGCAACGCACTCGAACAATATCGATGCTAAATTCCATTCGATTGCGATTGACATCAAATGATCGGTTCTCAATAATTCCATATCGGCCGAGATCGTACTATCGGTCTGTAATCAGTCGGCAGATGTCTCGAGAAGTTGCGATACAGGAAATTGACATGACCACTGTAATTTTTGGTACAGATGCCTTTTGGCCTAGTAGTTTGCTGGACTAATACTTATTTGATGCCAGGGGTCGGAGGTACGATTCCCGCAAAACACAGTGAGTGTGGACGCACAGGGTGACACGTGATCCAATCACAGAGCTCTATTCAAAGCTGTGCATTCGATTTGCTGCTTTACTTGAGCAAGTATCATTTGTGAATACGGGCGTAAGGCTGGGTTGCTTGCACCATCTTACTTTAACTTTGACAAACGTCAAAAAGTCAAACACCATACAAAAAACACCGGTCATCGTTATAGTTACGGTCAAAGTTTGGTGGTGCAACTCAGCCTAACAATGAATTGAAACATAATGAATGTTTTTGATAAGTCATCATCATCATCATTTCAGCCATAGGACGTCCACTGCTGAACATAGGCCTCCCCCAATGATTTCCATGTTGATCTATTGGTAGCGGCCTGCGTCCAGCGCCTTCCTGCTACCTTTATGAATGATGTTTGATAAGTACTCGTAGTAAAGCTTCGCCTAATTTGATACTAAACGATGCATTGTAAATTATCATAATATCCTAAATCCTCACAAACATGCACATTAAATACTCCTAATATCAGTAGGATAGCATAGAAAGTATTTATTAAAATAACGCCCGTATTCACAAACGATGCTATTGCTTAAGTGAAACAGCAAATCGAACGCACAGCGTTGAATAGAGCTCTGAGATTGGTTCGTGTGTAACCCTGTGCATCCACGCGCACTGTGAGACCTCATAGTAATGTTTGTGAATACGGGCATAAGATACTAAATTACCTACTTCAAAAATCAGCCAAAAAAGGTCAATTTCATCCTGAGTCAAAAGAAACTAAATAGCCCAATTTTTCGCAACGCCTTAGGACCTTCCCTTCATGTCCACAAAATTACAAAACTATACATCTCCAGCACACACTATTGTTCCCATTCTAAAACCCAGCCTTGTAAAACCGCAGTCTTCGTGTCATCCCTTCAGCGTTGCCATGGCGACGGTCATATAAGCATGCGCCCGCGCCGCTTGCTCGCAGTCGCGCGCCACGTTAGCGCATTGTACGTACACGGTGAGTGCATTTTTTTGGATAATTTTGAAAATTTTTGGGCCAGTTTGTGTAAGTGTTGGAATAAGTTAGTGTTTTGAGTGAAATAGTGCTTGTTGTTCGGATTTTGTTTAGATTTTTGTTTGGTATTTTATTAAATTTGTTTTAATTCAATTGTTTATTACTAGGTAAAGGATATTTTGGAAAAATAAACAATATTTTTTGGGTCAATAAATTGAAACTTAAAATTTTCTGACGAACGCTACTTTAGCTACTTGAAACAAAGTAAATTAACGCAATATGAATTTGTTTCAGTATGTTAATTTATCGGTATATTTTTAAATGTGATTTTTGTTCATAATTAAATTTTAAGATGGTTTTAAGACGTATTAAATTGATCTGAACTCGCGCTCGTACAAAAGACATAAACGCGTCAGTACGCAGCGGTTTTCCGCCCGCCCTTCATTTGATTTTACTTTTAAACATTATTCAGTATTATGAAAATTGAAAATAGTAACTGAATTAACTATTAAGAATAAGTTAATATTTCTGCCTATTAAACCAAAAAAATATAAAGTAAAAATAAGGGTTAATAGCAACAGCTTTGAATAAAAAAATAAACATGAATATTCAAAAATACGTAATCACTCAGTCTTACTGAACCAGATTGGAAAGTGGAAAAAATGTATCGTGCTTATTTTGGATTCAAATCATATTCAAATTGAGATTACCTTTTTATTAGTACTATGTAACTATTAGTACGCTTAAGTAAGAAAATACCTTCCATTTTCTTACAGTGTCAATGCAGATTTTTTAGCTACAATAGTAGTTGTAGATGTATCAGTGGAATATTAATCCAACAGGATTTTAACCAAGTGCCTGCCTCGCCGATACAGAAAAACAGTTTCCGATTCTTTAATCCGACACAATGCAGATTATAGTAGTTTTCTCATGTAGAGTGTTTTTGTCGCCGACAATGCGTTTTCTTGCCCAGAACAATCGTCATTGATTGGCATTCTTTGGTTTTCAAGTTATTGGAGTTCACACAACCGATATGCAAAGTGGACTTTAAATTGAGGGAATAATTATTGGCAGAGAATGGCTAGATAGAGAAAATTAGGTTATCTGAATAACGAGAGTGCTATTTCGAACGATTAAAATATTTGACGCATAAAAATATGTTTCCAGCAAAAATTTTACAGAAGATGTTTTTTATATTTAGCCTAAATATTCACCATCTGTACCTGTCTAACCTAAATTATTTAGTATAAAGAATTGAAAGTTCTCTATAGTTTCATATTACTAACTAAAATCTTCTTTGCTTTTAGACTGTCGCGTTCCATTTCAATTAAAATAGAGAAACACGGGTCTCAATGCGACATTTTACAGGAGTTACATACTTTGTCCAGCAGTGGACGTCTTTCGGCTGAAACGAACGAACGAACGAACATACGAGTATGTACTCACGGCTTGACGTTTCGGCTGCTATAATAATCATATAATTTATTTAATCAAGTAACAAGACTCATCATTTGTATGCTATGCCGCAGCCGTGGTCACAAGCAAAATAAAAAATCTACAGTTAAAATATTCTATTTGTAAAATAACTTTTCAATCCTACTCGAAATGGTTGCTGAACATCTCATTCGTATTTAAAATATCAAAATGACCAGATTTCAAGATTTCCAATCATATCTACGGTTTGTATATACCTCTTTGCTTTAAAGATATTTCTCATTGTGTTTTCCTAAAATAAAACAGTACTTAGCGGTCAAAAATGTTCCATAATCCACGCCAAAAATAAACAAAACACTACTATAAACCTGGGAATAAGACGTCCAAATGATATCTCATTTGTTTCAACGTAACGCGCAATTGGGTCGGAGTTGCAAAACAAAACTAACATCGTTTTTATCACCTCGCGATCCCAATCTGCTCTTAAGCTTTTAATAGTTTATGCAACAGATAAACTGCGTATAAGTTACAGTATTACTGAAACAATGGCGCTCTGCACGCATTCATTTCTCTCAACACTCGAGCGGGTAATCGGTGGGATCCATCTCTTGAGGGTATACATTATTTCCTTGTTAGTACACAGCTGAGGAATCTGCTCAGTGAGACTTTGGATGACTTAATAAAATGATAGTAAGACATTTGCTTTTACGACAAGTGTCGTAGGATTAGTGTTACTAGCTTACCTAATTAGGGCTTTAATAGTCGTGTGGATTGTTAGATAGAGTTCTTTAATATGTCTAAATTGTGACACTACAGGCATAGAAAGAAATCTCTCCCTACAATAAAATTACAGTCAATTTATTTTACCAAAACGGTTATCAAAATTTCAAAAAAAATGTTTATTATATTGGTATCACGTGAGTCTTGTAACTTTAAAATTTAAATAAAATTACAATTATTTTTTTATTTATTTCACCAATAGAAAGCCACATTATAGTGTCATTTATGTTATATAAAAAACCGAAAAAATCCACGCGGGCGAAACCGCGGGCGGAAAGCTATAGTCTGTCATATTTCAAAGCCGGACATATTTTACTCAGTTTTTCTTGAATCTCACAGAAAAAATATTCTACCAATTAGGAGAATAATCAATTAATTAAAGCGTAGCTAACCTTTTGATGGCGTTAAAGCAATTATCTCGCTATTCGCCCCAATACGCGTAATGTCACTTCGAGACAATCGATCTATTGTTTAATAATTAGGTATTTAAACCTAATATGACTCTGATAAAATCCATTAGGGCGTATCTTGTCAACAAAAAGGTAATCTTGGTTGACATTTTCACTATGCTATTTGAAAATATTATATTTCGTGGTAGACATTGTTATTTACTATACTTAAATCTTGGAAGAGGGCATTTTCTTTCGATTGATAATGTAGGTCCAGTACAATTTGGTCCAGGCACAAAGTGAATGCCTAGTGTCCAGGCACTCTCCTGTACCTAGGTCTGTTCGTGATAAAATTCCATAAAACCTTTGAGTATCTTAAAATATTAATACTCGTAACTACAATAATTAATCAATAGTTACCAGTTATTGTGAGAAAATTCTGCAGCTATTTGGTAATAAATTTATTTGAGTATTAATGTTAAAAGACAACGGAAGTCACACGGCATTAGGTGCGAAGTTTTATTAATACAAATAAATCTAATTTGTTTTCATCCAAGTAAAAGTAATTCGGATGATGAGCAGATTTTCGCAATTAAGCCAAAGGCGTCGTGGTTTAACTAACTTTGTATCAATTTCAAAGCAACTAAGAAGAATGTGAATTAGCACGGGACTATTCCCACCTCTCGTTCCCACCACTGCAACTCCTGTGTAGCCAGGATCTACAGCTTGACCGCCACAAAAACCCAACCAATGAAGGTCAAGTTTGTCCCGGGGGAAAGTTAAACTGTCATTGGACCCGCAACGAAATTAATCAGAAGAACATAGGAGGAGTTTGAAATTAAGGTTCGACATCCCTCCATTGCAAAGCGGATGACAGGTGACAAACAAAGGTTTAAAACCTTCAAGAAAAGATTATGCACCACGGACAATAAATTAAATTAAGGGGGCCTATCTTATGAGCAATTAGCAACTACCTGCCAATAATATTTTTCACAAAATCGCTTAAAAGCACGGAAGTTTTTCCTTGGCGGCTTTAATGTGAATTAGCAGTTGGTTGAAAACTAATTGAAGTTTTAAGACTTAAATGTGTTGATCCAATTAAGGGATAGTCCTCCAGAATTTCGACACTTCAACCCAGTTAACTAATAATCTCGTAGATGCTGCAATAAGTACTAAAGTTACTCATCCTCAGATAGTTTGGTCACGCTTTCTATGTAGAGCGACATTTGACGCCAGATGCAAATATCCGTCAGATGCACCGATCACCTTTCAACGTTGCAGCGTGGTGCATTAGTATTCGAAACGTGTCTTGAAATCTGATGACAGACAGTTTGTGTAGGAATTACGCAAGGCTCCGTGAAAAGGGAAGTGACAAGTGACCCTTTTTCATGAAAGTACGTGGAGTTACGCTACATTTATGAAAGGACTCAAAATTAGATTCAAGAAAGAGATGTAACTAATATCTCTTGAAGTATAATGGACGATATATTAATTATTTAAGAATCTTAATAACTACCTGACAGATGTCTAACTGATTTCGTCACATAATAAACAATTTTCTTTTTTTATTGTAATTGAGCTTCATAAACTTTAACAATGCTTTAATTTAATTGAGTTTTGCGTGTCATCATTATAGGGCTTGAGTGACGACGGGTGAAATCGTCAGATGGGAACGGGATAAGGGACATGGAGCAGAAAACATAAATGTCATATAAAAACTATAACGACATCACTCTCAGAACTTAATTTTTAAGGCAATTTATAGTTCTGTCTATAGTTTAATTTAATCTTAAATGTTTTGTTCACAGATTTAGTTTAAGCCGCAACCAGCAGCACCAACACCATGCTGCGTTTGTCAACGTTTTGCAGTAAGTAAAATTAATAGTAATATGGGCAATATTACAGTTGGGCACAAGACAAATCTTTTATTAATAAGCCAAGCATTTCGAGAAAAAAATTAACTTATTAAATTATAAACGGGCTCATTATCTTTCGCCCAACTATGTTAGCTTTTATAATTTACTAGCTGACCCGGCGAACTTTGTTCCGCCTTAATGTCAATAAATAAGCAGACTTTTTTTATTTCGAACGGGATAAAAAGTATCCTATGTCCTTCTCCTGGTTCTAAACTACCTCCCTGACAATTTTCAGCTAAATCGGTTCAGCCGTTCTTGAGTTATAAGCGAAGTAACTAACACGACTTTCTTTTATATATATAGATTAAAACATTTGATTAAGCACATTATGCAATAAAAGGTGGACTACCAAATCATAAAAGAACATTCGTAATCAATTTCCAAAGCATCTGTAATTTATCTGAAATTAATTTTTTATAAATTCACGGGGAAACAAAAACAACGTTTCATGCAATCATCAGACAATATTAGTAAATATTAACACTAGAAAAGCCGCCGTCCCATTTTTGTCCCACTAGCGAGTTTGATCAGCTCTAACTTTTTTATTTTTCAACGAAAGTCCATGAAACTTTTTGACTTTTTCTGATTCATTGAATTTTATCATTTTTTAATGTTTTTGATAAAATAACATTAATAGATTTTTTTTTAAATCGGTTTTACCTAGAAGCGCCACTGGGTCAATTTTGTCCCACCCTGGTATTTGCCACAATAATTCGATGAAGAGTCCTTTTTTCGAGGAGATACGAAAGTGGAGAGGTGAGGAGAGTTTAGTTGACTCGTGACAATGCAGAAATGTAAATATATTGTACTAGTTTTTGCCTGTGACTTCACCCGTGAGAAATTAAGTTTATCATAGAAAGACCTAATTTCTTGACACTTATCGTTGCTTTTTGACCAAATAACTGAATATTATTCTAAATTATAGCCTATATTATGTTATTCTGAAGTATTAACATTAAAATTGCAAAGTTTTATTAAGATCGGCTTAGTATTTTTTGCGTAAAAGAGTGAAAAAACATCCATCGATCTAACCATGAATCCATACTCACTTAGTTCAAGTTCCAGGCATATATCCACCTATTCATCCATCCTATCCATTCATCAGTCCATCCATCCTTCAATTCATCAATATTTATTAACTTGTACATTTATAATATTAGTAGGAAGATGGCCTCTAGACATAAGCCAGTTCATACATTGTATGATTTGATACATTTTTAAAATGTGTGACTTATAAAATTTTAAAGATTAAACGTACATACTTCTCATTGTAATTGGTCAAAAACTTCATTGTTTGTGTACAGATAACAGAAAAGTAACCATACCTATAGAAATTCCTAAACACATAGTACACCAGATAGACAAAAAACCATACAAAAAAACTTTGTGCAAAATGTGCACTATTATTTTTTTCTTTAAATTAATAATGAATAGTTAAAGTAGTAATTTCATGATTTTAATACAGTATACCACCACGTAATGTGACAATTTTTAAATGAAACCAAAAATATCTAAATTTTAATAATTCCAAATTAAAATTGAATACATTTATATTTTTAAAGAAATAAGTACATATTGTTTTAACCACATAGATAAACCTTTTTTTAAGGATACTACAAATAGTTTTAACCATAATATTCATGCCTGAAACTAAAAAATGTTACAAAATACATGCTGGGACAAAATTGACCCAGCGGCGCTTTTGGGGGGGTCGTAATCTTCGGCACTTCTAGTGTTAAACAATTTATTTGTGAAATATACGCCATAATGCATGCTCTTTTTAATCCGATCGTCTAAATATGCACTTTACGCAAATATTATGTTAAAATATGCAAAACGGGGCGCTTAGTAAATACATTATAAAGTAAATTAAGTTTTTATTGCATCGTAATACATTAAAACGGCAGTCAAAGGTGTCAGTGATGTGTAGTTACGTAAATTATAAGTTTAAAGTTAACTTAAATGTGACAGGTGTTAAGCACTTTAAAATTATTAAATGAATATCTTTTTAAGATTTATTAAATCAATTTGTATCATCCGTGTCGATAAAGCAATTAATTAATTAATTAATTGCAGCTTTTTTTAAGATCAAAATTCAATTTACGATGGACTTGGAAAAACAACTGAAAACTGGCTGGAAAATTATTCCAACTTAAAAAAATATTTTAATGGCACCTTTTTTGGTAAAAAACCATACTAAATTATTATTGTATCAAAGAGTACCAATAAGTTCGTGAAACGCAACTTGACCTGTTACGAGTATTATTCAAAATGGTTTTAAATGAGTAGGTACTTAGTCTCCAAAGTTAGGGTTTATTATCAAGTTACATCATAATCAAGCTTTCAGATTCACTAATATAATAGGCGTTATTATGTAAGGTTAGGAATCTGAAATATTTATAGGTCTTTTACGAAAATATACGAATGTGATCTTTGACCAACAGAAATGGAAATAAGTACGTAAGATTCTATAAGACATGCCCAAGCAATTTTGAGCTTTGGTTTCGTAGAATAATGACGTATTATTAGTTCTAATGACACGACGTATTTTAAGCATCTCCGCAATTTCGATGTTCCGTACATAGGAATAATACTTAATGCCATAGCAATTTCTCAATTTTTATACGAAGTAATTTTTTCCGTAGAGAATATTAATATTTACAGGCAATTTTTGATAATTGAAAAGGTTAGTACATAATAAACTCCCAGGAAGTAGAGTTAAGAAGACTATTAAGGCCCGATTCGACCAAACTTTTATCGGAGAATAAATCCTGGTATAGCTGACACATTGACAGTTTCAGTATGGGAAATATGCCAAAACTGACAATTTATTCTGAAATTAATATTGAGATTATTCTTGTTTGGTCGAACCACCCTAAGTCGTTAAAAAATAATGTTTTGCAGATCCCTAAATTATTATAATTTAAAACGCTAAAGTAAACACGTAATACAAAGCTTAAACGTGTTATATAACTTTAATACCCCATTGGTTCATAATTCACAAGAGGTCACAAAATGTGAGTAATGATTTGTTAAAATAGATTCAAACTGACAAGCATATTACAGTCTACTGACATACTTCCTAGAGTTATTACTATAATTTAATTTCTCCATATTCGTACAAATTAAATTAGTATTCGAAAGTGTTAATTTCAAAGATGATTCTATGACATTTTGCAGAGTTCACTGACCAAATGATGATTTTAGATCGCTATCCTGATGACCTCTTGAGACCAAATTTAAAAAACAGCGATTAAAAAACCTGTTCAAAATCACACGAGCTAGGTATTTTCTCTTTCAAAGGGAAACAACCATTAATTATAAGATTTGAGACAGAAAACAGTAACGTTTTATGTAAAATGAGCTTATAAACAATTAATTACAATACTGGATACATATCTAAAATAAAAAGATACATTATAGTGTCAACCTTCATAACAAATTCAAATGCTATATTCGTCGTTAATCCTTCCTCTCCTGAAAAAGATCCATGCCCGCCCTTTCAGTGCACTTTTTCATCAATAAACAACGAAAGACAGTCTTTCGCAACATTTTTGATATTGACCTGGAGTAAAATGATTTTGTGCGTGACCGTCATCATCGAGTATGATAGGTCCTCCCCAATCAATTAATTGCTTTTAAATACCACACCAAACTACTCGTATTTGATTGATCTCAGAAGTCGTGCACGACGTAAAGTTTTACTTACTTTTAACCTAAAAAGTATCGTATCTCTACTTGAAAAATGACCCCTGCTCTGTTTGGTTAAGGTTCACACGAACAACATTTAAACCTTAGGATGCTGTATACATCAAGATGTTGCAAGACACACGCAACATTTCTAATTGATCACGTTAAGCTGCGTACATTATCGTTAAAGGAACATTAGGGTACGCATGAGAGATTTACAAAACGCCACACAATGAACTTGCGATGCTAATGTCTCTATAAAAGAACTTGACCTTCTGGCATGGGTGTCAGTATGTCACTTTGTGGTTCGGGTCAACTTTTCGTAGAGCTCAAGGTCATTTTATAATAGTATGTATCTTATACATTAACTTACGATTACAAAATTAGTGGACAATAATTGTCCGTTTCCCGAGAAGCCTCTGAACTTGGAAGTGATAAAAAAGCTTCATGGTGGATCCCTGCTTGCTTATGTTTTGAATAAATCAGATGGTCCTTAAGAAGAAATGCCTTTTAATTATTTTCTTGTATAATTCACACATTGTTAATTTAGCATTAATATAGCATCCTAATAGCATAATTTGCATTTCATTATAACTGTTGCCAGGGCCGAATCTTACGATTAATAAAGTTATACTTTAACGTTATTTTATCAAAGGCGGAACAACTAAGTAAGTAATATACTTTTAGATCCAGGGTTAATCACTGAAGTAGATCAAAACTAATCAACATTTTGTTTAAAAAGATTGAAATTATTCAATTATGTAAATCATATTCATATAGACTTTATTTCATGAATTAAGTAGGTACTTCTATTGCCGGCTTAATGGAGACACAATAACAAAACAATAAATTAATCTCAAACGTTAGTTTGAAAACTGTCTGGATTTTTAGGCTGAGTTGCACCACCTAACATTGACCGTAACTTTAACGATAACCCGTGTTTTTTTTGCGTATGCGACACATTTTTGACGTTTGTCAAAGTAAAGTAAGATGGTACAACCCAGCCTTAGGATTGTTGGATTCCAGATTAACATCTAAACAGAGGTATTTGGCAATAACACAGCTTACTTTGTCTCCCGAGTGCGTGCCGGAGTGACTGACACCCTCGAATCAACTGATGGGAAGTGTGTCGCAACCTCCCGAGGGCCAGCAATCAGGAGGTGAACCTCTGACACGTCATTACACTTACACGGATAGCTTACTTATTTCGAGTTATTTCGAAGTGAGTGCCGTGTGAAATCTAGGCTGGGATGTTATCAAAG